TGTCCTGGAGGAGAGTGAGATTTCTGAGCACTGCTTTGACCTCATCTTCGCCTTCGATGAGATTGTTGCCCTTGGTTATAGAGAAAATGTCAACTTGGCCCAGATCCGGACATTTACAGAGATGGACTCTCATGAGGAAAAGGTGTTCCGTGCCGTCAGAGAGGTAGGAAAGACATTTCTTAAGGAATAGCAATGCACACTTTTGATTGTTATTGTGCATTTAAAGGCTAAAAGTATGCTGCCATCTTTTCTAATCAACAAATCTGGCAATTCCCCAGAAGTCTACAGCATATAATGACATTCTAGAAAATTCTCCAGTCTGCTAGACTTGTTTAGCTCAGGTATATGCACTGATGCAAAGGAGGAGGATCAATAACTTCCTAGAGTGTGAAACAAGGTGCTGTGTGTGTGGACTTCATAATTAAACATCCCTGATCCCAGCCATGTGTTTGCAGTTTATAAATAACATGCTGGCCAGGGCTCTCAGATGACACTTGATCAATTAAATGTTTTATTTGCAATGTAATTTACTATCAGTCATCTTTTCTTCACTCTAAACTGCTCAATTAATCGTTCATCAGACTCAGGAGCGTGAGGCTAAGGCAGAGATGAGACGGAAGGCTAAAGAGCTTCAGCAGATAAGGCGTGATGCTGAGCGTGGAAAGAAGGGACCAGGCTTTGGTGGTTTTGGCAGCTCGGGCATGAGCAGCAGCAGCACAGCCATCATCACAGACACACTAATCGAGCCTGAGAAACCCAAACCCACCCCTGTACATGTCAGGTACTGCATACTCTTAATAGACTACAGCAATATGTAAAAAAAAAAAAAACTGCAATTTAATGCCTTTTTGTTTTAGGTCCAGTGGTCCAAGTAAAGCACTTAAACTGGTTGGCAAAGGAAAGGAGGTGGATGACTTTGTGGACAAACTAAAGTCAGAGGGAGAGAATATCATCTTGCCCAGCACAGGCAAAAGACCATCAGAGGCATCCAAATCTCTGCCTCCTCCAACCCACACAGAGAGGTAATGATATCTCAATGTTTTTATGCAAGAATCATACTGAATATAGTCAGTAGGACATTAGTGGCGTCTGTGATCTTATTCAATTAAAATATTTTGTAGTGCTGTTCATTAATGCACTAAAAATCTATTTTTGTGTTTGTAAATGATATGCCTCTTTGTGAGGCTTTTCAAATAGACATAGATTTAAAATCTTTGTTTACTACTTGCTTAAATTGGTTTCAGATTAAGACCTCTCACATCTCACGTTAGCAGCATGTAAGCAGTACATATTATTTTCATTGCCCATGTTAACAGTAGCAGCATTCATGCTATGCGTGTGAGCAGCGTGTCAAGTACAGTTTCAGCACTGAGACTATTTTTGCTGCATCTTGCACGCTGAACTCAGCAGACCATATGGTGAAAATTTACTTATTCATCAACACAATGAAGACACATAAGCACCACTTTCTAAGTCTTAACTGAATCTGGATTTAAGCAG